TCCCCAGTGTTCTGAAGAATTAAATGAAGTGCTTCAATGAAACTTTCTTATTTGGTTCTGATCTCTATGTTAAACATTTTCACAAATGCTTGGCAATCCTTGGAAGGCTTTAAAATTTTCAGTTGTCTTTTAAATAAATTAAAAGAAGAAAAAAGAGAGTCTTCCTATTTATTCCTATTTACCATTTTGATTGCTTTTCATTCTTTCCTATAACTCCTGAGCTTTCATCTGATGTCATTTTCTTCAACCTGAAAAAGTAAATGTTCTAGTTTCTGTTCATCTCAAAAAGTCCACTTTATGTCTTTTTAAAAACTTTTAAAAAGTATTTATTTGAGAAGGAGAGAACGACAGAGCAGGAGCAGGGGAGCAGACAGAGATGGGGAAGCCGACTCCCTGCTGACCAGGGAGCCTCACATGGGGCTTGAACCCAGGACTCTGGGATCATGACCTGAGCCAAAGGCAGAGCAACTGAGCCACCCAGGTGCACCTTACTTTCATTTTCAAAGGATATTTTCTGGATATATAATGCTGGTTTGGTAGATTTTTGTTTGTTTACTTCATGTGTTCTATTGTGTTTTGTGTCCACTGTGAGTGATGAGAAGTCAGGCATGATTTGTATCATTGTTCACCTGCATGTAATGTTCTTTGCCCTCCAGCTGCATTCAAGATTTTCCCTTTATCTTTGGTTTTCACTAGTTTGATTATTGATGTACTTAGGTCTAGTTTTCTTTATATTCATCCTACTTAAGATTTACCTAGACTCTTGGATATCTTCTGCCACTTGGGTGGCAGAAGCAATATGAGCACAAGTGATTTAAAGGTAAGGAAAACATAGTCTCCACTCAAGAAATCTCTGCTCCTATAATGATAGAAAAAGCCAAAGTAATAGAAAGGTGGCAAGTGCTGTGGGCAGAGGTTGCTGTGGAAGCTCTGGAGAGGAACAGTCAACTCAGTCTAGAGTCTTAGGGACAGCTTCTTGAGTCAAGTATTCCTAGACCTGAGTCTTGAACAGTGAATTATCTGAATCAGATACATGGACTAGGAGAGGAGGAATGTTCCTGAAAGAGAAAACTATAAATTTGAAGGCAGAGAAATATAAATTTCTGATAACACTAAATATTCTGTCCTTAGGTGATCTGATCTTCTAATAGGTAGTAGGAAGTGACAATGTATCTACAGCTCCTGTCTCTCCCAAGTATCTACCAAATGACTTTCCACTCCTGGCTTCTACAGGTCAGCCCTCCCCTGGGGTCCAGCTCTCTCAGTCACCGTAAGTTTGCACATTATAGGTAGATGCAGGAATCATCTACACAGGATCTTTTTCATTCTAATTAAGTGGCTGTGTGGCTGTGTGTCTTGTTATGACCTGCGTGTGGGCAAGGTCAGTGCCCAATGCTTTTAGTTCCCATAACTGAGAAAGAGTTTCAGTACTACATAATCCATCATTCAATTGTATTGAATGAAGGAAGAAATTCTTCATGAACTTTGCCCCAGCTTTATTGAAGTTAGAATGATGAGCTAGCTCATGCTATACATGCTCTGGGTTGTGAAACTGAAGGAGAAATTTTAAACCTTGGAATAAATTCAATAAAATTACACATTGCAGTTACAAGAATGTGTAAATGTGTACGGAGGAGGGCAAGAACAAAGAAAATAAAGAACAGGTTGCTCTAGTGCAGTAAAGTGACCAGCTAATTTTCATTTCCTTTGCTTTTGAAAATATCATTTTTGGAGGATATATGAAATGAATACAAGGTCGAAGGAACGAAACTTGGCAGAAAATGGTAGGTGAGGAACAGCAATGATTTAAGAACTATGACAAAGGAGATTAGAAATTGAGTGGTTTCTGGCTTGTGGAATTTGAGAGGAGCCTCATTTGAGAAGACTGATCTACAAAGGATGATGACCATCTCCATCAGGGACCAGACAGGAGGCAACAGGCTTACATTACAGAAAGGGATTTAGATAAGAGAAAAGGAAAAATTTTCAGACAGTGCAATTTGATAGACACTGGAATGTGTAGCTGGGGAAGCTTGTGGAATTTCCTTCTCTAGAGGTCTTTTAAAAATAGAACAATGTTTCATCTGCCTGAAGGATGGACTCTGTTTGACCTTTCAAAGTGTCCACTGAACCCAAAAGGTGTACCTTCTGCTTTCTGAGAAGAAAGCAAATCTGAATCATCCTGGGTGGCTTGAGTAGTGAAAATAGGGTGCATAAATTTCATATTTGATTTGATTTACAATTTACATAAGTCATATTTGTTCTCCTTTCTTTCCCTTTTGGTTGAATGTTTTCATTTTTAAGGCTTGGAGATTAGATTTAAGTAAGAATATTATAGGGCAAGAAGGAAGAATGCTCATCTTTAGGGCACATTTTTATAGGGACATAGGCAAGAAGAAAAGGATATTTTGGACATCTTTGATTTGCTTTCACTTCCCATTTTAAATAAAAAAAAACCACTGCCTTTTCTGTTTGGTTTAATATTTTGGGGGTAAAATTTTTAAAAAATTAATTTAGCCTAAATGTTTTTTACAGTGTTTTTGGTATCTCAAACTGGAAGAGGTTCTCTATATTTAATTTCCTCTCAGGAAGTTTACCTTCAGGAGTCCAAGTGTAAGGTCAAGCTTTGGGTTGCCGGAAATGGTAATGTTCTTTACTGTCTGAGCACCCAGACAACACTTAATAAAACATCCTACTTTGTGGACATTGGTAAGGATTAAAGTGCTTTACCCATTTCCTCTTATTCTATAATTGGTGATTTCTGTATTCTGTCTTCTAAAACTCAAAAATGAAATTATACATAAGCAAGAGCAGCATTCTCTGGATTCAGCTTATCACTCTGGCTTGCCAGATAAAGGGTGGTATCCATCTTTTTTCCTTTCTAAAAAAAATGTTGCAAAGGCCAAAACGGATATAAATTTTAGAACTCATTATTTACCTTAAGCAACAACTCTAGGGTGTTCTAAACTTGATTTCTGACTTTTTGTTGATATGAGAACATTTACAGGATAAAGCAATGAATCATAATACCTCATATTCATGTAGCTCTTTGTATTTGTCAAAGTACTTACTCATTTAATATCTAATTTGATCTTAACAAGAGCCTCATCAAGATCATGATCTTACAGGTGAGAAAATGGGATCTCAGTAAGGAGATGTGACATGCCCAATATCACAACACTAGAAAGCACAGAGTTGGAACACCCCTGACCTCAAAGCCTGTGTGTTTTTCACTGCATCATGCTATGCTGTCAGCGAGAATCTGTGATTTCCTGGTGGTTTCTTTTTCACCATTTATGAGATCTTTGTCTCTGATTCATTCTGAGCCAACACCATATTAGAGACCATGACACTAATGTTATTGTCACCAAATAGAAGTTGTGCTAGCATTCTCATGGAGTAAAATACCAAAGGTTATAAAAAATCCTGCCATTCTACATAAGTCATGCAAATTAGGCCAGTCGTATGGAGATTACAATTTTTGCCAATTCATGCTAGCTTTTCATTATTAAGGCGCATTTTATTTTTATGGCAAAACTTACTTTAATTCTTGTATCAGTCTCTGACAGAAATTCAATATTAACTCCCATAATCCCTGTCTGTCTGTCTTGGGTGTCTTTTGGGGGTACAGTGTGGCTTTATTTCCTTCCCTAACAGTTCGGAAGTTTGTTTAATACTGACTCAGAGGAAGCATTCTAGCTGAGTCTTCACATGGTCTTGTTTACAGCTCCGGAGTGCACATAATAGATAAGCTACTGATTTCCACAAGAACCCCCACATTTCCTGGGTGTGTGGGCGTGTGTGCTTGCGCCTGTGAATTACGATTATGCAATCCGCCTGCTAGCTGCATCAGGTTGCAAAGCCATTTCAGATCTCTTAAATATTTCTCTCCTAAACCTAATTTCAAAAACCAAAAACCATTGTATTCCATGGGAAGTGTGCTGGTAACTAATAATTAACACTGAAAAGCCAATGAGTTTGTAACAAGATCAAACTTGATATTGAGGCAGGGAGTAGGCAAATTTGCCTGAGGAAACATTGTGAAATAAAGCTGCATATGGCCATAGACGAACACTGTTCCATTTGTAGGATTTCTTTCCTTGGTTATAATTATAACTATCACTTACAGAGAGCCTAGGATGTGGCAAGAACTTTGTTAGGTCAGCATCATCTTATTTGATTCTAACGGTAGCCCTGAAACATAAATATGGCTAAAGAGCTTTTATAGAAGAAAGGTGACCACAGAATTCAATAATAGGTCTTGTATTACACTGATGGCAAGTGATAGAATGATGAAGGTGGCCAGGACTGTTGGACTCTAACGACTGACTAGATTCTACAAATCTTTCTTTGGTTCCTTTTTTGATGTGACTTTGCATGAAACTTAATTGTAGTTTACATAAAGTATAGAATTTACTAGAAGAATTATCTCTGAATAGTAAGGGGATTCAGGCTACAGATGTTTGGAAGATGATGGTAGTCGGCTGAGAATAGCTCCATGAATTTTTCAGGGAAGGTGATCTGAGGCAGAAATGTCACAGAGACCTCAGATCATTCTTCCCTGGAGATGGAGAATGTATACACGACTGTATGTGTAATCTGTCTTGCGTAAAAAGCACTGAAATGATTAAATCCATTGTGAACAAGTATTGGACACTAATGCAGAAGCAGACTTTTTGGAACCAACTTTTATTTAAAAATTTTAAAAATTATTTATTTTTTGGGGGGGAGAGAAAGTGAGGCAGGGGCAGAGGGAGAGGAACATGGAGCCCGACTGACATGGGGCTGGATCTCAGGACCCCGAGGTCATGACCCAAGTGGAAAACAAGAGTCGGATACCTAACCGACTGAGCTACTCAGTTACCCCTTGAACCAACTTTTTGCATCAGAACTAAGCAACCTGTATTATCTCAAGATCATGCTTACCAAATTTAGGCATTCTTTGTAACTCTTATTTTTAAAAGCCATCATAATTCTTTCCCTTTGTTTTTTCTTTCCAGCTGCTGCTGCTACTGAATTTGAGGCATGCCATGCGCCACTTCTGCAGTGATAGCTTTGTTTTTGCAAAGTGAATGGAATGGAGTTTGTGGGGATGTAGAACGCAGGCACTGAGAAACCTACATGAATGTGTAAGAATGACCACAAGGCACCAAACGTGGGTGTATTTATCTGCTTGTCTCATTACTAAGAGGTTTTAGTTCTAAAAAATATCCGGAAGGATTTAGCTTTGGGGAAGTGGGGAGGGAGAAGGAGTGGAATGAGTTTTGAAATTTTAAACAATTTATTTGAGCTTCCAACTGATATACTCCAATTTCTTTACACCAGAAGCAGGGTTTCTTAAGGGACAGTTGAGAAAAGATTTTACCACCAGTGTACAGAGACATTAAAAAGTTGATTTTACAATTTATTTAGTATATTAATAAGAAGACATTTCATTGCAAGAAAAATTGGAAACTGCCAAGTTTCAATATTAGTTATTAAAACAGCAATTAAGACGTTTTTGTGGTCCAGAAATATGTTTGTCTTGGTGACATATGCTGTGTTCCATTTGCAGCCTAATTATGTTGATGCAATTCTATCTGATGTTCTACTCCTTAAATAGGTCATGTGGTTTCATTGACAGAGGGTAAGTGAAGCTCCTTTTCATTAAAAAAAAAAAAATTTTTTTTTAAGTAGTCTCTGCACCCAGCTGGAGCCCAATGCCAGGCCTGAGCTCACAACCCTGAGATCAAGACCTGAACTAGGATCAAGGGCCATCCAGATGCCCCTCCTTTTCATTCTCTTTCAGAGACAGTGGAGATACTCAGTTCTGGGGTCAGATTACTTGGGTTAAATCTACGTTCTGCCTCTATCAAGTGTTATAACTTTGGGCAAGTTAGTTAATCTCTGTGTCTCAGTTTCCTTACCTGTAGTTGAGGATGATAATAATGTTACTTATTTCTCACGGGGTTATTTTGAAGATTAAAATGAAAGAATTATAGTACACCCATAGTGAGAAATCAATAAATGTAATTTTTAAAAATTTACAGATAGTAATATTCACTTTTTTTAGGTGTATAGTTCTATGAGTTTTATTACATGTATAGATTATTGTAGCTATCCATATACCAACACAACAGGGTACAGAATAATTTCAGAAGAATTCCCTTATGCTCTCCCTATGGTCAGATACTAATACCACCACCTCCTTCCCCAGATCCCAGCCCTTGGTTACTACTTATGTGTTTTCTGTCCTTATAGTTTTGCTTTTTACAGAGTGTCATATAAATGGAATCATACTGTATATAATTTTTTGAGATTAGCATCTTTCACTTAGCATAATACCCTTGTGGTACAACCTGATTTATAAAGGAACTCCAGCTGGAATTCATCTGACTTCATAGAAAAGGGATTAGATAAGATTTTTTTCTTTTTTAAGGATCATTGAAGGGAAGAAAACACATAGATTAATATTATACAAAAGGAGACTTTAGCCTAATATGAGAAAGGAAATTTTCATAGTTATCAAAACATCAAATATAATGCTTCTTTAAGAGGAAATTATTTCCCTGTCATTAAGTGTGTAGACATATTAGCTAAAGGGCCCTAAGGAAGGCCAGGTGAAGAAGATGCAAGAGTCATATATGAATTAACCAGGAGAAAAGCGTTGATGATAGTGGTATATGGTGTTTTGTATGTGGGGGCTCAGAGCAGGACAAGGCGTTGGAAGGTCACGAATAATCCCAAATAATCTGTAAATGTAATCATATTTGCTCCATGCTTTGTGGGTGAGAGCTAACTGTTGTTGGGTGCAGGGGGAACTTGGACCCTTGTCACCTTGGCAGTTCAACTGCATACATGGGGAGGTTAGGCAGCAGCCATCATAGAAGAGGGAGAAGAGGTCAAATCCTGACCTGGATTGGAAGAGAGTGATAGGGTGGGGGTGGTAAGACTGAAGGAAGGGGAGGAGCTGGACAAAGCTACAACTTTGCACTGCCTGTTTGATGCCAGAGGCAACAATTATCATGATAATTTAAAAATACCATGTATATTGCCCTAATTTATACAGATGCATGCACATATACAGTATAGTATTATGTATGAGAATGTATATGTTTAACTTCATCTTCATTCTGCAAATCAGTTAAATCTCAAAAACCTGAAAGTTCACTGTACCAGCTATGATTTCCTGGCTTTGTCCTAGGGTAATTGTGTGGAATTTGATTTAATCCTTGAGCCAATACTCTGTGGGAGAAACTATCTTTTTCATGTTCTAGATGAGGAAGCTGAGGTTCAGAGAGGTGAAATTACTTACCCAGAGAAATAGAGGTAGTAAATACAGAGCCAGAGCTTCTTCTCAGGAATGTCCGTTTATCTTCAGAGTTTGGTCATTTGCCTTCATTATGCTGTTACATATTGATGAGAATGGTTGAATTTTGGTCTTTTTGCTGCTTGGAAATCCATGATCTGATTTTGTTTTCTTTTTTTAAAGATTTATTTATTAGAGAGAGAGAGAAAGCATGTGCAAACAGGGGGAGTGGCAGAAGGGAAGAGAGAAAGAGAGAGAATCTCAAGCAGACTCCCTGCTGAGTGCAGAGCCCAACTCGAAGTTTGATCTGATGACCTTGAGATCATGACCTGAGCCGAAATCAAGAGCTGGTCCCTTAATTGCCTGCACCACCTAGATGCGCCTCTAATTTTAAATACAAGGGGAAACAATCTGACATTTTAAAGTATACTCTGTAATGATACTTTGTGTTTGTTGTTATTATTAATGGTGCTAAAACTTTATATCCAGTTACTACCTGAATTTAGCAAGGATTTCGGGCAAGAAGAGCTAAGCTTTTCTTCATTCAGGAAAGGCCTTGGAATGAGAGGACCTTGAGTTAAAATTTTAGTTCAGTTCATCATAGCTGTGTGATCTCTCTCAGCTTCGTGTTCTTTAGTGAATTCAAAATGATAATAAAATGGTTATTATGTCATTTAAATGACAAAATGGTTGGGCAAATACTTGGCATTGCTTGTCACATGGTAGGTATTTGCGAAATTAGGAAAAATAATTCAGAAGCACTTCTAATTTCATGACTTAAGTATAAGCAGAAAGGTTTATTTGTTTGCACTGTAGTTATTTTGCAGCTCTGGTTTGTGCTTGGTGGTTTTACAGGAAGATGCACAGAACAAATTTGTTTACATTCAACTCAATCTTAATGCCTGTGAGTATGAATCTAGATCAGCAGGGAATACATTGAATGAATTAAGTTTAAGTATTGGATGGTATATAGATTTCCAGAAATATATATATTATATATATGTATATAAAATATATATTATATATATAACATATATTATATAGATTATATTATAAAATAAATTATATTTTATTATATATATATATATATATATATATATATATATATATATATATCCCTTGTGCCATTCTTTTCTTTTAATTGCTCTCATAAGAAGACTAATAAATCCCTCTGGAGATTTCATTACTAAAAGTGAGAGAAGCCAAGCTGGGCTAAAAGTTATTTGAACCTGTTTCATTTTAGCATATATGCTTTTCACTTGACCTCTTCTCTCCGATCTAAGAGGAATGCAACTATGAGCAGTCAGGGGATCTATGTTCTACTAGGATTCAACTTTCTCATAACTTGTGGCTGTGGGTGCCCTAGGACCATGTTCTTCCATTTTGAGTCTGGCAATCTTTTACCTTTTTAGTAGCATTTTATTTTTTATTTTTTCTATTCATTTGAAATTCAGTTCTACTCATCAAGTATATTTATTGAAAGTCTGCACCTCCTCGTGTCCCACATGCTGGGACTTGTTGACATAGGGAGGAAGCCAAGATACACCAAGTAAGGACTGCAGAAGTTGGGGAAGCCCAAGGCGAGGAGGCAAAGCCTGGTTGGGCAGAAAAGAAAAGAGAAACCAGCATGGGGAGTGCTGAGGATTGATGACAATGACAGCAGGGTGCTCAGCTGTAGGTAAGACCGCAATGTTGTGACAGCAGGAGGAGGGAGGACAAGCACTCCAAATTGCTGCTGGAAGCTTGGCTGCTTCCCCAGGTACCAGCTGTGTTTCAGTCCTCCTAGCTACACTGATGAGTGCTGGTTTCTTTCTTTCTTTCTTTCTTTCTTTCTTTCTTTCTTTCTTTCTTTCTTTCTTTCTTCCTCTCTTTTTTCTTTCTTTCTTTTTTTATTTTATTTTATTTATTTATTTGTGAGAGAGAGTGAGCAAGAGAGCAAACATGAGTGGGGGTGGGGGTGTGGAGGGGCATAGGGAGAGGGAGAAGCAGACTCCCAACTGAGCAGGGAGCCTGATGCGGGGCTAGATCCCAGGACCCCAGGATCATGACTTGAGCTGAAGGCAGATGCTTCACCTTTCACCGACTGAGCCACCCATGAGCCCCTGCTTCCATCTTTGTTTGTTTGTTTGTTTGTTTGTTTCCATCTTTTTAAAGGCACAGACCACAGCTTCTGAAATCAGAGGAGAGTGTCTACAAAGGTAACTTGTTGAAGTATTTTTAAGGATGACTCTGTTTTGATCCCATCTGTTTACAACTGTGGTGGGGGATTTTTTTTTCTCTTATACTCTTGAGTTCTCAGTGTACAGGTGAAGCCATGATGGTGGTGGCCAAAAGGCACAAGATAACAAAGTTAGACTTTCGCCTGTTGTACACTTTAGTCAAATTGACTAAATAGAATCAAAGTTAACTGCAAAATTTTGAATTCCCTTAATGATACTGAAAGCTAACAAGACCTTTGTGTGTTTTGTAGCTTTCTTCAGCATAGCTGGCAGGTTACATAACACCCATTTGTCCTAAAAGTGGATAATCTTTATGGCAGAAATTACTGAAAAAGACATGGCAAACATCTTCAGCATCTTCCCAATGAATCAGTTGTTCCTTTTTTTCCACAATGCCTTGGGAATTATCAACATTTTTCTTTAAAAAATGAGAAATACTGGGGCGCCCGGGCAGCTCTGTCATTTAAACACCCAACTCTTGATTTTGGCTCAGGTCATGATCTCAGGGTTGTGAGACTGAGCCCTATGTTGGGCTCTGTGCTGGGCGTAGAGTCTGCTTGAGACTCTCTGCCTCTGCCCCTGCCCTGCCTTAAAAAAGAATGAAAAATACCTGTCCTCTACATTTGGACCTTATAAGAACCTTGTGTTGTAGATATTATCTTCATTTTACAGTAAATGGTCAGAGAAGTTATGTACTTTGTACAAGAATGCACAGGTAGTAAATAAAATCAGATTCTGAATCTGTAAACCAACTTAGGGGGCTCTGCTCTCTCTTCTAGAGCACACAAGCTTTTGTATAGCTGCTGACAAAATATTGAGTGATATAGATGACATACACTGAAATGAATCTGTTGTTCATGCTGTAATAATCTCTTGTCCTCTCCTTGTTTCTCTTGTTTCCTACCTTAGTTTAACAACCCTATCTCATGTTTTAAAAAGTAATTTTTAATCATTTTTTAAATTCTTATTTTAAAAATTTTAATTTCAGTATAATTAACACACAATATTATAATAGTTTTAGGTATATAATCTAGTGATTCATTAATTATATACATTACTCAGTGCTTATGACTGTAAGTGTACTTTTCATCCTGTTCACCTATTTCACCCCCCTTAACCACCCAGTTAAGAGTCTGTGTTTTTGTCTCTTTTTTCTTTGTTTTGTTTCTTAAATTCCACATATGGGTGAAATCATAGTATTTTTCTTTCTCTGACTTATTTCACTTAGCATTGTGCTCTCTAGATCCATCCACATTGTTGCAAATGGCAAGATTTTATTCTTTTTTTATGGCTGATAGTATTCCACTAAACATATATACCACATCTTCTTTATCCATTCATCTATCCATGAACACTGAGTTGCTTCCATAATTTGGCTATTATAAATAATGCCACAGGAAACAGGGGTGCACATACCTTTTCAAATTAATGTTTTCATATTCTTTAGGTAAATACCCAATAGTGGAATTACTGGATCATATGGTAATTCTAATTTTATTTTTTTGAGAAACCTCCATACTGTTTTCCACAGTAGCTTCCACCAGTTTGCATTCCCACCAACAGTGCCCCAGGGTTCCTTTTTCTCCACAGCCTCACCAACACTTGTTGTTTCTTATGTTTCTGACTTAAGCCATTCTAGTAGGTGTGATGTGATCTCTCATTGTTTTGATTTGCATCTCCCTGATGATAAGTGATGTTGAGCACCTTTTCATGTGTCTGTTGGCTATTTGGATGTTTTCTTTGGAAAAATATCTGTTCATGTTTTCTGCCCTTTTTAAAATTGAATTATTTGGATTTTTTTTGGTGTTGAGTTGTATAGATTCTTTATATATTTTGTATACTAATCCTTCATTAGATATGTCATTTGCAAATATTTCTGTTCACCAGGTAAAAAATCATAATCATACAGTACAGGCACAAAACTCAGTAGTAAGAGGGAGCCATGTCATCAAGAAGGTCAGAAGCATACAAGAGTATTTGGAGAACTTTATTATGTATCAGGAGATATCTTAAACCTGAAAAAGGAAAAAATGAAAAAGAAAAAAAATTATTGACTTACTATTTGAAAAAGACTAAAAATCCCGATTAACTCCATAAGCCATATGCCAAGATGAAATCCAGATGGATTAAAAATGTAAAAGTAAAGAGTTATTTTAAAAAGCTATAAGAACATGAATATTTACCTCATTTTAGAAGAGGACAGGAATTTTTAAGGATAAAGGCAATGGAAGAAAGCACAAATGTTTATAGATTTGATTACATAAAAATTGACTTTTGAATAGTCATAAATAAAATGAAAAACAGTAGATGGGAAAATACTTGATATCAGATTAAAAAAGGCCATAGTTTTTAATATATAAAAAGTTCTTGCAGATCAAAGACAAAAATCTCTAACACTGCAATAAAAAATGGATAAATGGCTTAATCAGAAAATTCAATGAAGACAAAATATGAGACTAATTTTAATTAAAAGATTTCAACTCATTTTCTAAGAAAAGCATTAATTAAAACAAGATAGCCTTTCTCTACCAAAATAGAATGAATGTCTCAAAATATATATTCAATTTTGGTAATGGTCTGGCGAGATGGATACATATTGGCTGGATGATAAATTGGTGCAAACTTTCTGGAGAGCACTTAAAATTTTTTTTGAGAACCTCAAGTAAGGTTGTGCCTTTTGACCTCATAATTCTCTTTCTAGGAATATATTCTGTGGTTTTAGTAAAAATTTCAAACAAAGAAAGATATATATGTAAATATACCACTGAAATATATCTATATATTCATATATATATCACAAAATGATATATATAATTTTGCATATATGTGCAAAGATTTTTATTTCAATATTTTAGGAAAGCTTTTTATAATGAAAAATTTTACACCAATATAAAAGTAGAGAGAATATGACAGTGAATTTCTATTTACCTATTACCTGGCTTCAGAAATTATTAATATTTTCCCACTCCTATTTCATCTGTTTCTATGTGTTTTTTGTCCAGGACTATTTTAAAGCAAATGAAAGACCTCCAAATTATTTTATTTGTAAATACTTCTGTATGATAAGAGCTTTAAAAAGTATCCAAAGGCTATATTATTAAGCATAAGGAAATTAAACAGGCTTATGTTCACATTTCTTCACTGACTAAAGAATGTCTTTTAATAATTGTTTTGTTCACATTAGATTCCAAAAAAGATCTGCCCATTGCATATACTGATGTTATATCTCTTAAGTTAATGTATAAAAGTCCCCCCTTTCTTTTTCTACTGTTATTTATTTGATAAACTAGATCGTTTGTCCTGTAGAATGTCATACATTCTAGATTTAGCTGAGGTTTGCCCCATGGTATAATTTAATGTTTTTCTCTTTCTCTCTTATTTTCTGCAAGTAGCCCTCAGAATGAGGCTTGACTGGTCCGGCTCATTTTCAGTTTTATTTTTTGGCAAGAATACTGTATGTGTGGTGTTCTATACTTCCTGTTGTATTATATTAGTATGCACATAATTTCTAGTTGCCTCACTTTCAGTGACTCTAAGATTGATTTGTGGGTTCTGGTGAGCCCTCTTTATCAAAGTCTTTACTGACTTTTTACATAATTGTTAGTTATAACATTTATTAATGATCATAGCCTAGATCCATTCTTTCTTTTTTTTTAAAGATTTTATTTATTTATTCATGATAGACAGAGAGAGAGAGAGAGA